GATACTAAAATAACACTGGTGAAGAAACTATTTTCACAAACAATTACAAAGAAATGGCAAGTAATGCATTAAATTAAATGTGAACTTTAGAAGTAGAAAATCTGAAATAGGATTTTCTTTGTAAAACATATTTCAGTTATCTTTGTTTTATTTACAACTTTGAAAAATCTTTTTTTTGTAGTAAGTCAGTCATTTGTAGGTTGATTGTGTTTCTGTGGCTCTGTTTGTTTGACATCAAAATATAGTCTTTCCCTTTTCAGTCTTTGTGTTAATATTTATGTCTTGTTTTCCAGTACAAATATCTAAACATTGTTAAATCAATATACATTTACTTGAGAAGCAAAATTACATTAGATAATAAGTCTTGTTTTCTGAAAAATGTCTCAGAATGAAGTGAGTTTGTCAATGAGGTCAGAAAACAAATAATCTTGTTTTCTGACCCCTACACTCTTAAAAATAAAGGTGCTTCACGATGCCATAGAAGAACCTTTTTTGTCTAAATGGTTCTATAAAGAACCTTTAACATCTGAAGAACCTTTCTGTTTCACAAAAGGTTCTTTGTGGCGAAAGAAGGTTCTTCAGATTATATAAAAAGGTAAGAAAGAGATGGTTCTTTAAAGAACCTTTGACTGAATGGTTCTTTGTGGAACCAAAAATGGTTCTTCTATGGCATCGCTGTGAGGAACCTTTTGAAGCACCTTTATTTTTAAGAGTGTAGGTACATATTTTTTCTTGTTTTAACTTTTTTTTTTCTTTTAAAAACTCTCAAAATCACACATTTAATACAATGTGTTACTTTGTAATTATTAGTAAACTTTACTAGCAACTTCTGAGTGAAAATGGTTTCAAAGTAAATCCAACAGCACATTTGTGGAGTGAGTTTAATGTGTAACTGCAGGTTTTGGGAAGACTTGTGTTTAACAGATGTCAGATTCAGACTCAGATTCACCCGTCTATCTGTCACACACACACACACTCACACACACACACACACACACACACACTCTCTTTCTCTCTGTCACACACACACACACTCACACTGACACTCACACACACTCACACACACACACACACTCTCTTTCTCTCTGTCACACACACACACACTCACACTGACACTCACACACACTCACACACACACACACACTCTCTTTCTCTCTGTCACACACACACACACTCACACTGACACTCACACACACTCACACACACACACACACTCTCTTTCTCTCTGTCACACACACACACACTCACACTGACACTCACACACACTCACACACACACACACACTCTCTTTCTCTCTGTCACACACACACACACTCACACTGACACTCACACACACTCACACACACACACACACTCTCTTTCTCTCTGTCACACACACACACACTCACACTGACACTCACACACACTCACACACACACACACACTCTCTTTCTCTCTGTCACACACACACACACTCACACTGACACTCACACACACTCACACACACACACACGGATGCATTCGCATTGAACTGTCAGGACTGAGAATGTGAAGTGAAAGTTACTCCACTCACCGCAGGATGTCAGTATGAACCCATGAGATGATCAGATGAACCTGCTCTCTCTCTCTCTCTCTCTCTCTCTCTCTCTCTCTCTCTGGAGTCCATGATTAATGTCTGTTGAGGATGTAGAAGTCTTCAGATCCGGAAAACAGACCATAAATATCCTCTCAGTTTACAGATCTGAGACTTCTGGAACTAAACACGGGAATCAATAGCAGGTCATGTGCTCTTATGTAGGACAAACACTGTAAAAGTGCAGCATTTTGGCTTGTAGTAGTTGATGTTGTGATATTAAACTACTAATATCAAACTATTAGTAGAAGCTAAACTACTTTAACATTCAGAATCGCATTGAAGGGAGAAACTCTGAATGAACGTTGATGTGTGTGAGTGACATGACATTGACCAATCACAGGAGTTTGGGGCGGGACTATCTGTTTGACTGGCCAATGACAGCCCAGTAGGAGGTTAGAAATAATTTTTTGTTATTTTTGTAGTTCAGTTAGATGACACACAGCTGCTTCAAGATACAGTTTATCTGTAACTGAGACTCTCAGAAAACGATGATAAGACCCTTGTTAGTCTCAATATAGCACTATATCAATATATAACTCTCATCTGTATGTATAATTAAGGTGATATGATCATTAAAGGGTTATTTTAGTATCAATGAGATACTAATATAGTTTTTGTTCAAATTTTGAATATAGATTTTATTTTTATACTTTGCTTCCCTGTTAATTTTAAAGTTTTAGTAATTTGTGTTTTTGTTTTTCTTATTAGTTTTTTCTTTTTTTAATAATTTTTTTTTTTTTTATTATTTTATTTTAGTTTTAGTTATTTTAGTACATGAAGTTAAATTGCATGAAAATGAGAAATGCTGCCTTGGAAACAGAAATAAAATAAAGTTAGAATATTTTAATTTATTTCAGGTAACATTTATTTTATTTTAAGTAACAGAAATGTTTTTATGGTTTTAGTTTACTATAGCCCTGTTCCATACAGCATTTTGTTATAATGAATTTTTTCCCTCTTGAGGTCAATTTATAATTTAAGTTTTTTTGCATCAGAAATAGTAATTACATTTTTCATGACCATTTTGAATAAAGGCTGTTTTTGGACAGGTTTTGGGCATTCTGAACGTTACAGTATGTTTTCACAGCACATCAAATGCTTTTATCTCAGAAGATGAAGGGAAATGTGATTGTTGCTCTCTGTGTTTATAGGATCTGTCTCTCAGACGTGTCTGTCTTCTCCTCTGCTGATGTTCCAGGTCTTTCCACTGCTGCCGCGTGACTCTGGCCTGATTTCTGTGCTCCCAAAGCAGCTCCTGGACTCTAAGATACACATAAACACGCCAACATCCCTACAACGTGTGCTTAAAGCAACAGTTCACCCAAAAATGCTGAAAATGTGCTGCAAATATCCTCACCCTCAAGCCATCCCAGATCAGGATGAGTTTGTTTCTGCATCAGGTTTGTAGAAATGTAGCACTGCATCAGTGTCTCAGCAATGGATGCTCTGTAGTGAATGGGTGCCGTCAGAATGAGAGTCCAAACAGCTGATAAAAACATCACAATAACCCACAAGTAATCCACAGCACTCCAGTCCATCAGTTAACATCTGGAGAAGACAAAAGCTGAAACTAATCCAGCATTAAGACGTTTTTAACTCAAATACCATAGAGTCCATAATCCATAATAACTCTTCCTCCAGTGAAAAAGTGGTCTGAATCAGGAGAGAAATCTGCACAGATCAAGCACCGTTTAAACAGCTCTAAACAAATATGTGGCTAGATTTTGATGTGAGAGACAACAGCAGATGCACTTTTTCACTGGAGGAAGCCTTATTATGGACTCGTATTTTAGTTAAGTTAAAACGTCTTAATGAATAACTTCACAAGACATTGATTGGTAATTGTGTATTATTGTGATGTTTTTATCAGCTGTTCGGACTCATTCTGACGGCACCCATTCACTGCAGAGCATCCATTGCTGAGACACTGATGCAATGCTACATTTCTACAAACCTGACGAAGAAACAAACTCCTAATCTCACATGAGCTGAGGGTGAGGATATTTTCAGCACATTTTCATTTTTGGGCGAACTGTTCCTTTAAGAGTTTAGAAAGTGTAACTTGATTTACTCTTCACTGCTGCAGATTGTAAGACTGACTTTTCTTCATCAATCTGAACACACGCAGCGCTGCAGAAAGGCTCATATTGCGGTCTCACAGCACAATCACACTCATAAGAGCTCCGTCAGCGTTACGAGAGACGAAACCGCAATCAACCCACAATTCTCAGTCACTCCACTCACAGCCATCACTTGTTTTTTTCTCACTGAATGCAAGACAGACTCCCAGCACACACTGTTTCTCCTTCAGTTTGATCTCCTGTGTTCTGCTCCAGCTCTGGGCTTCTGACGTTACGCTTCTCGTCAGCTCGTTTCTACCGAGACACAGTGACAGAAATGCTGTTCTTCCTCAGTATTTCTGTCTTGTTTTCCAGTTCCAATGTCTAAAGATGCTTAAATTGAGATGCATTCACTAGAGACGCAAAGCGACATTAAATACGTCTTGTTTTGTGAGATAGGCCTACTGATCAAAATGAAGTGAGTTCATGATTAAAACAAGAGCAAACCAATGGACTCAGAAAATCAAGTTTTCGCTCCCCATCGACAGATATTTGCTCTTGTTTTAAGCATACTTAATTTTGATACGTTTTTCAGAAAACAAGCCTTCATATCTTCATTTTGCATTTCCATGCAACATTTAATGCCATGAATTTAAGACATTCCGCTCTGATTTAAGACCTTTTTAGGCCTTGATTTTAGAAAGGCCGGTAATTGCCATTTCTTTGTAAATATTTGTGAAATTGACTAGCAGTTTCTGAGTAACCCCAACACCATTCTTTTTCAAGCGTACTTACAGTATTGTGAGGCCTAAAAATATCTAGTCTGGGATTTTAAATTAATTCTGGAAATAAGGTTCAGAAGTTTGAAACACAATGAAAACAGAAAAATTATAATATAAAATGAATGAAGAAATCTTTCACAGTTTTATGTTTTCATTGATCATGAAACTCATTTATTGACATTTACTGACAATTTCTCTCTCTTGCTATTTGTTTATTTATTTATTTAAATTTTGCACTAATTTATAAAATAACGTACTTTTACACTTTTAGAAATAAAGGTTAGAACCATTAGAAGAACAATTTTTGGTTCCACAAAGAACCTTTAGTCAACAGTTCCTAAAAAAAAACATTGTTTCTTAATGTCAAGAACATTTGAACAATCTTAAGAACCGTTTTCAACTATAAAGAATGTTGTCGGCTCTTCATGGAACTAGTAGACACCAATAAAGCACCTTAAGTTTAAGTGTGCAGTCTGAATGTTCACGAGACTGCTGGACTCCAGTGTGCATTAACTGTTGCAGACACAGAGACCCGTGTGATGTTTAATCAGCAGCAGAGTCTAATAAAGCAGCTGCTAATGAGATGAGGTCTGGTGATGGGATCCGGCTCTGTAGCTCCTGATGCTGTGTTCTGGTTGCTCCGTCGCCGGCCGACCCTAATTCAGCCCGGTCCATCTGGATCATCCTGCGCCGGAGCTCCTGAAAGCGCAGTATCTCCAGCTCATCGTCCTCACACTGATCCAGTTCAGACAGACGCAGCTTCTCCACGGCAGGAGCCTCTGGATGAGACACAAACCAGAGTTTAAGCTGAGGTGAGGCCTGCCACACATTTAACATGACCACTGAGCTCACTCTCACACAAAAACAGTTTCTATGTTTCAATGCAACCGCATCTGCAGGAGGTCATACAATGATATTTGTTCTAGATTTGTGTTGGATGTTATCTTTGGAATGGAAATATGGATATTTTATTTGTAAACATCATGCTTTTTCCGCTTATTTCGGATCGCGAATCATTTGATTCAGATCGGGACTTCGGAGCGGGTTCGCGAATCTTTTTTCTGATTTCTTTTTTTACTTAAACAGTAAAAAAAAACATCAAACTATTAAGGCAGTACAAAATCAAAACAAAGAAAAAATAAAGAAATGAAGTATACACAAATACATATCCCTTAAGAAAACCGTGGTTTTACTACAGTAAAATTGTAGTAACCATGTTTTTTTGTTTAACCACAGTTTTACTATATATGCCTATATAATTTTCAGACATTTTCTAGTTATTTTAGTACATCAAGCAAGTTAATCAAAATGAAAATGACAAAATATTGCCTTGGCACTAGCTAAAAATAAATAAAAAGTTATTTTTTAAATTTTTAAATTTGATTTGATTCCAGTTAAAGTTAGCACAACAAAAATTGTTGTATGGTTTTGGTTTTAGTTAACTATAAAATAACTATTGAAATAAATCTGTAATAACATATAAATATCGGATGAAAAACTTAATATTTAATAATAACTGAAATAGAGTAGGTTTAAGTTGAAGTACTAAAATTACGGAAACTAAAAATGGAATAAAAATAAACAAAAGCTAACTAGAAGTATTTAAAGAAAGAACTAATAAAATTGACAAAAGTACATAACAACGTTACTAAAATCTTCACTGAAATTAAAATATAAAAATGAAAGCTAAACATTTTTTGATTATTAATAAATACCATTATAATATTGAAGTAATACTTAAATAACACTGGTTCAATCTGCACCCTGAGATAATTAATTGTAATTCCTAATTAGTCCATGAAAGAAGGAAGCGCATAGCAACGGCCGACTGTGCTCTTTACAGGTTTGATTATAAATCTAGTTTATTTATAAACTAAAGGTAAATATAAATATAAAAAAAATAAAAATAAAAATGACAGGAGTACGCAACAATATTAAATTGAAACCTGAAAATATTAAAATAAAAGCTAATTCAAATAATTAATAAATAATAATATAATAATACTAAAATAGCACAGTTTTTTTACGATATAATGAGGTTAGAGTTGTGTTTTTTCGGCCACATATTGAAAGTCTCTCCAATCAAACCACACTCCCGCTGATCATTTGATTTTCATTTTAAACCTCATTAAGATCTCAGCATCATTCCCCATAATGCATTGTGTAATCAGACGAGAGCTGTCTTTATCACTCGTCAGTCTAATGAGTGTGAGATTATTGCGTCTGGGGTTATTGATCGTTTTCACAGCAGCGCCAGAATCCAGCTGAGCTTCACGAGCGTCTCAGTCGAGCAGAACCAGGGCAAGGAGCTATTTTTGAGGCAGCCCATCCTTTTTATGCAAAGCCACAGATGGCACACACACACACACACACACACACACCTACACACACACACACACACACACACACTCACACATACACCTCACTCTCAGGTTTTTCACCTTCACCCAGTTGTGAGGAGCGCAAGTAATGGAGGATGGAAGGCAGGCCGCGGCTCAAGACGTCCCGAGGAGGAAACGTGAGCGGACAATTCCTCAGACTCAAGGCCTTCAGCGTGATCACGTGACCTGAGGAAAGACAGAGGTACAAGCTCAACATCACGTGTTCGTCATGTGCTTCGCAAACACACGTGTGCGTACAGACCCAGCTCTGGAGGAAGTGCCGAGATCGGATTGCCCTCCAACAGTAAGGTCTTCAAGCATCTTAAAGACAGAAGAGGAAACGAATGAGAAGCTTGATTTGCAGTTTGATCACTGGAGTCATTCTGTGCTTTGTGACTCTAAACTGTAAAATTCATCATTAAACTTCAAAAAATTATGCTCTTTCTTAGTATTTTTGTGTTGTTTTCCAGTACAAATATCTAAACATCACTGTAAAAAAAATTCCGTAAAATTTACGGTAAAATAACGCCAGCTGTGGTTGCCAGAATTTTACTGTAAAAAATACGGTAGCAACGTTTTAGGTTTTACGGTTTTAACTTAAATTTACAGTTAAATACCGTAATTTCATTAACTGATATAATGTTAATATACCAACCTATTGAAGTACTGAAATCTGTTTTGTACCTTTGTAATACACTGATAACCACCAAATGCAGGTGCTGATGAGAAAGTCACACGATGAACCAAAGCCCATCACAAGCAGCTTTTAAATAATAACATATATAGAAGGTGCACAGTGTCATTCACACAAACACTAAACACCATCACGGTAACACACATGAAACTGAAATCATGCAATAAACATTCATTTAACAACATTAGGTGTAACACACAACCCTAATACACAAAACTAAGAAGAAACAGTTAGTTCAACAAAAAAACATCATTTGAAATGTAACGCAGGGTATTCTGGGAATGTCAATTTACGGTTATTTATTGTAAATTATACGGTCTTTTTCACTTCCAAAAACGGTATACTACCGTAAAATTACATGTAATGTCCAATACAGTTTTTCACCGTATATAGTAGGGGAATTTACCGTTAACCATTTAGCAGGTTTTTACTGTAGCATTTTTACAGTCGTTTACCGTTAAATTCACGGTCATTTTTTACAGTGATCCTTAAATCAAGAAAATTATATTATTAAGTCTCATTTTCTAAAAAATTTATAAAATTTATGTGAATTTATGATTAAAATAAGAACAAATATCTGTCAATGGAGTCAGAAAAATGAACTTCATTCAAAGAGAAAACAAGATTATATTTCTTACCGCATTGGCAAATATTTGTTCTTGTTTTAAGCATAAACTCACTTCATTTTTACATATCTTTTTGAAAACAAGACTAAATATCTTAAGTCATTTGTTGTTGTTATACTTTATTGTTCAGCCTTGGCTGAAAAGTAGTCTTTGGTCTCGCTTCTCAAGTAAAACTATATTGGTTTAAGATATATATATATTGCAGTGTCTGAGTGATGTCCTTCATAGCTGTGCTACATTGTAAAAAAAACATTTTTTTTAAAGTTGTAAATGAAACAAAGATTACTGGAATGTCTTAATGCTGGATGTGTTCCAGCTTTTGTCTTCTCCAGATGTTAACTGATGGACTGGAGTGCTGTGGATTACTTGTGGATTATTGTGATGTTTTTATCAGCTGTTTGGACTCTCATTCTGACGGCACCCATTCACTGCAGAGCATCCATTGCTGAGACACTGATGCAGTGCTACATTTCTACAAACCTGATGAAGAAACAAACTCATCCTGATCTCAGATGGCCTGAGGGTGAGGATATCTGCAGCACATTTTTGCATGGCCTGTTTCTTTAACTCGGATTGTTCTCTCACCTGTGTTTACCGATGGCTGCTGGTAAACCTGTGAGTCGATTGTTTCTCACATCCAACCAGACAAGAGACATCAAACTGCTGAAGAAACGCTCAGGAAGGCTGCTGATCTCATTCCCCTCCAGATACAAGCTCTACAACAAAGCAGAGGAACATATGTGAGTCTGAATTATACTGTATGAGCTAAACTGTCCAAGCACACTACAGATGTGATGACTATAAGAACCCTGGTGTGCTATTAAGCTACCTTTAGATGTGTCGTGTTTAACACCGATGCTGAGATGTTCTTCAGAGCTCTTCTGCTCATGTACAGCATGTCTGCAGATGCTGATTTTTCATCTTCTTCATCTTCTTCACAGCGGAGGCTCAGATGGAGCGCACTCATGTCTCTCTCAGTGTTTGACGTGCGCGTGTATATTACTGTAATAATCACATGTGATCGATCATATTATGATGTCTTGTTTACATCCGTGTGACTCCAGCATGCTGCCAGGTGGGATGTTGTCAGTCGTTGCTATGGTGACGGCGAGTGAAAGCGAAACCAAAACTATGGTGAGCAGCGGAGGCCAAACATCCGAACGCGTTTGAAAAATGCGCTGACTGAAATGTCTTGTATTCATATTATTCATAACTTTTGTTAATTTATTTGTGAAACGGCGAAGAAGTACAATGACAATAATTTAAAGAAAACACTTGCCCCTTAATTTAATAGCCTAATATCTTTAATAGACTGTATAAAGTATTTATTCAGTGACACGATCGCTCTACACTATTGGTCAGGTAACAAAATGTGCTTCATGCGATAAATATTATTATTTCTTTTTTTTTCACTTCAAGAATATTAGGCCATATTAAAGTCTCAGTCTCAATTTACACACTTTAAAACAAGCACAGTTGACCAATGTTTTGTGCAATGTTCTAAAAAGACTTGTAAAAACACGTAGACCTAAATATATATATATATATA